CAAGTATAGCTGATTACATATACATAGCTGAATACAAGTATAGCTGATTACATATACATAGCTGAATACAAGTATAGCTGATTACATATACATAGCTGAATACAAGTGTAACTAAATACATATATATATCTGAATACAAGTATAACTGATTACATGTATGTAGCTGAATACAAGTTTAACTGAATACATATATATATCTGTATACCAGTATAACTGATTACATGTATGTAGCTGAATACAAGTTTAACTGAATACATATATATATCTGAATACAAATACATAAGATGATGTTTCAGTTCTGTTATTAGACTAGAGCAGCCAAGAATTGGCGGTGGTTGCTATTGACAAGCGGTTTTTCCTCTAGCCTATCAGTTCAAAATTAGGGACGGCCAGAGCATATAGTGAATATCCAAAACAACCAGTCCACCAAAACATTATCACACTAACTATGATGATTATCGATTTGTTGTTGTTTGTTATATTCAAGCTTCTAGTAGAGAACTTATATGAAAATCTTAAGTAACTCATATTTAATGAATAATGCCTAAGCTGGTGAAGTATAGACGGTTAATCGTGTGTTGGTAGAGTGCGAAAGACCTCGTCGGCATCGGTGTGCAATTGAAAAGCTATTATACACTGTACTGGAAGCCCATACTAATCCAGTAAAAAAAGGATGCGATTAAAATTATTATCAGTCCTATTTTGTTACGGTATCACATATCTTTTAATTATGTTATATTATCAGTCTTATTTTGTTACGATATCACATCATCTTTATAATTATGTTATGTTATCAGAAAATACTTTGCATTAAAACCTATTTAATTATTGTAGTTTCCCTGCACTGAAACTTTTCGAAAAATACTACTCTATCAAGAAATGTTATTGAATGGACATAGTTAAAGTTAACTTAGAGTGGTATTTAGGGTAACATTATCAACTGTGCTTTATGTAATGATATATATACAAGCAGTATAATGATAATTACTAAAATGGACAAATATATGTTACACGTATAAACATACAAAGCCAGTTGTCAGTAACACTTTTTATTAAAACAAAGTAGTTAGACCTCCTAATTTAAAAGCAGTTTTCATTTTGCTCTTTTTTAACATATGCTAATCTGTGTCCTGTTGGAAACAACAGCACTGCTACACCTGCTAAGATAGACTTTGAGAAGATAAACACACGCAAACTTTAAGATACAAATGAGAACCAAATAACTCCCCTGTCTCTTTATGGGCAGGGTAATAATTTCATCGTAGTAATACTATACATTATGGCCATTTCTTCTGACTCTGGAAATTAATGAATAAACATTAAGAAAATATTTATTAAAATGAATGAATTTTTGGGTTTTTTGTTCCTTTATATGGTTATGATGGAAACTGAATCTCACAGCTGCTTTACATTTCTATGATTTGCACTGTTATACCAAGTTTAAAACAAAGGAATAGTTAATTTCTATCTCGCCTTCCAGTTCTGCGCCCACCCCAACGTCCAGCAGCTTCTAGCGTCTATCTGGTACGAAGGTCTACCTGGGTTTCGGCGGAAGAACGTTGTCTTTCAAGCCTTGGAAATCTTCCGGATTGGAGCTCTTTTCCCTCTCTACTCAACGGCCTATATTTTAGCTCCTCACTCCCGCTTTGGCCGAACCATACGTCGGCCTTTCATCAAATTCATCTGCCACTCCGCTTCTTACGTCACGTTCTTATGTAAATATATATATATATAGTACTTAGCTCAATCTAGTTTATTAATGTTATTAAGATTGAATAACGAAAATCTAAATCTACTTAAAACTAGACTGATTAATAGATACTACTATATGTATATAGGTCCAAGTTAATTACTAAGGTTTATCTTTAAATCTAGCTGTCACTGTCGAAATCAGAATGAATTATGTTAACAATAAGATTTATATTCTAAGCCTCAGGAGTCGTAAAATGCTCTGTGAAAGAAATTGCATCAATTCATCTCAGGTCTGTTGTTAACGGTGTAAGTTCGTTATCATTATTTTACAAATAGTCGTTAGCTCTCTCCTTTCGCGAGTTAACTTTTGCTGTAACTCGCAGTAAAGTTTCTCAGTAACTTTTGCTGTAACTCGCAGTAAAGTTTCTCAGTAACTTTTGCTGTAACTCGCAGTAAAGTGTCTCTTGGCATTTAGTATCCTTTCCTGAAGTAATAATCTATTGATTTTTTTCTTCTGTTTCTCACATCTATGTAAAACCAATAACCACTTTAAGTCGTTGATTTTTTCCTAGTTTCAAAGAAATCGGATGACCTGTAAAAGAGAAACTACTGCTAATCAAGCTAACTGCAGCGGTTTTTTGAAAAAAAATTCCATTTTAAATTTTATAATGTTCTTAAAGGCGTATTTTTTATTTAGAGGTTAGCAACATGACAATAAATGTATTTAGGTTAGAATTAAAATAAAACTAAATCAGTTTATTGCATAACACAAACGAGATGTTAGCGTTTTAGCTCAGCGTAAAAGCACAGTGTACCCGGAACACGTTTCGTGGAAAAATTCGCCGTTTAGAAAAGTTAATCCTATAGAAAAGTCTGTACTCAGCAATGTCTGACACGGCACATTTTCCCAAAACCATAACACCGACGTTGTTTACGACGTTAGTAAGTAAATACTTAGAGTAAAAAATACATAAAACTAAAACATGACAACATATTTTTGTTACAGTTTCGTACAATTGTACAAGAAACTTACATATCTTAAAAATTTTAAAAGATAGTTTTAGACGTTACAAAAAAATCCACTATTTTGTGTTATGTTAATAGCGGTTGCTTCTGTTCGGCATAGAAGAAAAGAAAAAAAGAAAAAGAGGAATAATAGATAAATTAGCTAAAAATAAATCAATGTATCAAGTCAAAACTAATAAAGCCAAAACAAAAATTTATTAGACCGAAATTAAATAGTTGTAACTGGTAGTTATTTGAAAATAAGACGAAAAAAAAAGCTAAGTACTGGCAGCAGGTATTAAGAATTGAAAAATCACTGCTGCGTGGTAAATTTGAATATCAAATAGTTTGTCAGTTACTGATTAGCAGTCTAAAAATGTATTTCTTCTCTTCCTCCTGTGGTTTGTGTATTGGTAAAATCATTAAGGTATATCTTACTGGAAGATAAGGAAATGCAGTGTTTCTTTGGGGAATTCAAACTGTTATTTAGTTTGCTCGTAAACCTTCAAGTAATAAGCCCATCCATTTACATTAGCAGGAATCTTAGCTGATGCATCCAAGAGGGATTTTTAATTAAATTTCTACTCTATTGGAAACATAATTAATAAAGATATTCTTAGAATGGTCGACTAGGGTAGGGAATATTTGTTTCCAAATCCAAGAAGTATCGTTACTCACTTGCAAGATACTTCGTGAATGTATATATTTTGGTTGAGTATTTCCATATATAATGCGGAAAAAACTAACAAAGGAGCCAGAAATAGGAAAAGGAAATGACGCAGGCATATTTATCTTTACATAAAGGAGAAGAACTTACAACAGTCGACAGTTTCTCTGTCACAGGAGTTTGACCTTTTTCTTAACTCACTCGGAAACTAACCATTAGGAAATAAGCACTAATTTAGGCTAATTGGAGAAGATAGGGAGGAAAGATTAATGCATAGTGGCAAAAAAACAAAAACAGATTAGGCTCACTCTCCAAATTATTTTATAATTATTATATGGAAGAAAATAATTCTGGTTCAAAGCATTGTTATGACAGCTTTGAAAGTTTTTATGTTAAAATAACTGAGAATATATTCGGTGTAAACAGGTGTGGTGTTGAAGGTTTGGTTGCTGTCATAAAGATAATCCAGATTACAGCTCTGTTGAAATTCAGGTTATTGTATTTTCATGTAACTCTCATGTAGCAGTTTTACTCTTTCTGCTAATGCTAATCGCGGGTATTAAGGTAAAATGGTATACTGTGTCTTTCTGAGCACAAAATGTTTTAAATATACAACTTTAAAAATTGCTTATTATCGAGATTTATCATCAGCATTAATTTTTTTTGTCAAAACAACCATACATCGTAGCTAATCAATTCAAAACGAATGTTTAAAGTTTGTTTAATACAATATTGTAAATATATATACGTTATATTTGTATAATTACTGCCATTCAGTATTGTTTTGATTTCATGTTTTTTCTTGCTTTAAGCCCATAATGATCCCATTTTCAATAAATTTACTTGAGATTTTTTCTAGAAAGATGGATTAACTCCAAATCCGCATGCAAGTTACTCATGGTTATCTTCCGAACCTTATTGATCCTTTAGGCTCAGTTGAAACATTAAACCATAGTTTCAAGAGGCCATTCGTGATCTGATATACCTGTATTAGTTTTCTGCCAATTGGAGATTACCAGTGTCAGCTTGACATATAAAGTGTTTAACTTATATCCATAATTCTACAGTAACAACGAAATAGTTTTTTGCGGGTGATGATACAGATACAGATCTATGATAATTTTATGTTAGGGAATTCATACATAAATTAAACGTTTTCATATTAAGATAATTTGTCCCTATTTACCGCAAGCTGAATGTACTTCTGCTGTTTGTAGAGAATCTGGCAAAACTGTTGATATGTATATTTGTTGAACGCGAAGAAGTTGGAGTAGTTAAGCTCATGACATTAGCATGTTGGAAATACACTCCTATATATATATATATATATATATATAGTAGTAGTAGTACTACTTACTTACTTTCGTTACGACACTAACTAACTACGTTAGTTACGTTAAGGAAGGAACTAAAACAACTAAAGAACAA